GAGAGTTCTGTGAGAGTTATACCAGGTTCTAAAAATAATACTAATAGTATTTCTTCTTAAAATTTGTTTTAAGCATATTTAAGAAAAAATACTCTCAATTTTATTTCAGTGTTAATTTTTTTTACAGTAATCTGCTCTTACGAGGTGGCAACCCACACCTGAGAATGACAGTTAAGAGGCCAGACCACCCAATGCTGTGTCACACACAGCAGATGACGTGCACCTTATAAGCAGGCAGTGTCTCCACGGAGCACAGCAAGATGCCTGGCCCTCCTCACTGAACGCCAGTTTGCCTTCTATGTCTTACCATGTCATTTAAGCACATGCACATATATGTCTGTAATTACTTTCCCTTGAAACTTTTATTTAACCTCTCCAATTTGTTGCTTTCTTTGTTATGTCAGAGAATAGAGTCTTCGAATGTCAGTGATTGTTTATCGCATTGTAAGTATAGGCTGGTACAAAAGTAATGGCAAAAATTACTTTTGCATCAACCTATCCTTCCTCAAGACACCCCTTTATGTTGCCATTTATTCTGACCCAGGCACAGGTGATCTCATGCATATGATGATTTTTTTTTTTTTTTTTTGAGACAGAGTCTTGCTCTGTTGCCCAGGCTGGAGTGCAGTGGCGCAATCTCACTTCACTGCACCCTCCGCTTCCCAGGTTCAAACAGTTCTCTGCCTCAGCCTCCTGAGTAGCTGGGATTAAAGCCACTTGACACCACATTGGGCTCATTTGTGTATTTTTAGTAGAGACGGGGTTTCACCATCTTGGCCAGGCTGGTCTTGAACTCCTGAGTTCAACCTTGTGAGCCACCCGCCTAGGCCTCCCAAAGTGCTGGGATTACAGGCATGAGCCACTGTGCCTGGCCGTACATGATGATTTTTAAAGTATTCAAAGGTTAACTGTTTGGAAAGCATTGCATGGCACCACTGCTACCTTCACAACAAGTAGAGTGGTATTTGTGAAGAGGGCAGGTTGTGTCAACCACATACTCATGCCTGGTGGTCTCTTTCCTGAACACCAGGACGAAGCCCAGCCTACCTTTCGGTTGACCTCTGAAGACTCCCCTCTGCCCATCTAGTTTTTGGACTGTAGCCTTGCCCACCTGAAGTTGCCTTTTTTTTTTTTTACTTCTATGTCTTGCCTCTGTGCCTTTGCTCATTCTATGTCCTTGCCTGGAGTGTAATTTTCTCTAAATACTTATTGTTTTGCACAAAACAAATCTAAGAGAAATTTGACACTCTCATCATGAGACAGAAATTATGAAGTACTCTGTCTTGCAAGTGTCAAACAGTATTTTCCGAATTTCACTTTCAAATTTCAGTATAAATATATACAACAACAAAATCAAACAGGATAAGATGGCAATTTGACCATGAGCATCTTAATCCACAAATCCCAACAAAAAGAATCTAAGAAACAATAAAAATCTTGTAGTCCAATATCATTTACAGGCTTAGACTTTGAATAATTTCTACTGAAAGAAAGTAAGAGAAAATGGAAAGAAAATACACGGCTTTACCCCAATTCTCTTCCAAAGAAAGAGGAGATATGGGAAACCCTCCACTAATGTCCCCCACCCTAGAGGGCCAGGGCTGGAGAGGAGCACAAGAGGCCCAGAGATACGCAGAGTATTCTGGCAAAGCATCAGGAACAAGAAGATTTGACATCTGAGGAGGCCAAGGCTGGGTTACCCCAAGGGCAAAGGACAGTAGTAACAAGGTGCAGGGCGGGAACAGCCACAATGTGCACCTAAAATGGATGAGGGGCATACAAATCCAGAGAGCTGGCTCTGCATTCCAGGCTCTCCAAGCAGAGAAGAAACTGGGCAGAGGCGAATTTCTCCACCAGGCACTTATGCTTCTCCACTCTACCTGTGCCTCTGTACCTCCCAACATGTAATATAAATGTACCTTCAAGAGCCTTCCAGCATGTTTAAGTCATGAGAAGATGATCCGAAGCATTGTCAGGCAAAGGCAGAGGATCTGAGCAGAATCCGGATACTGACCTGGGGCAAATGTCAGGCGCTGCCACACCTCAATCTGTTTCAGTAAGAGAGGATGACAGGCAAAATCATGTCCTACTTGATGTAAATATTTCATAATACAAAATGAAGGGGAAAATGCACTCAAGAGAGAACAGACATTTGTAAATTTGTGACAGAAAACAGAGTTTGACACTGATAGCATCTACTTTAAAATTAAAGTAAAAAGGCTGGGCACAATGGCTCATGCTGTAATCCCGGCACTTTGGGAGGCTGAGGCAGGTGGATCACCTGAGGTCAGGAGTTTGAGACCAGCCTGTCCAACATGCTGAAATCCCATCTCTACTAAAAATACAAAAAATTAGCCAAGTGTGGTGGTGACACCTGTAGTCCCAGATATTCGGGAGGCTGAGGCAGAATTGCTTGAATCCAGTAGGCGGAGGTTGCAGCAAGCTGAGGTTGCACTGCTGCACTCCAACCTGGGCGACAGAGCGAGGCTGTGTCTAAAAATAAATAAATAGATAGATAAATAAATAAAACAAAGGATGAAAATTTAAAATAAAAAATATAGGTTTTGCTGGACTCAGCTGGTTGCCTCCAGTTACTGCGGAGGCGACTCACTTCAGTCCAACTTCCTGATACTTTGCTTCTGGAGGTCATATTTCTCTAAAATCTTCCAGAAAAAAGTCTTAAGGCGACCTTAGCCTTTTTTCCAGTCCAGGTCTTAAATTTTTTCCTCCTCTTCCCCAATAATAACATGAGTATGGATCCAGTTTGTTCACAAAGCCTGCCTCGCTCCAAAGCATCTGACTGTGGAGAATCTTCACCTACGCCTGTGATTTGTGAGCCTGAAGAAAATTATCCATCCTTGCAAATATGTTCTGCTGAGATGCCTCACACAGAGACTGTGTCCCCTCTTCCTTCTTCCATGGATCTGCTTATTCAGGACAGCCCTGATTCTTCCACCAGTCCCAAAGGCAAACAACCCACTTGCTGCAGTGAGTAGCGCCACAGCAAAGGAAGACAAGGTCCCCGTCAAGAGACAGAAAACCAGAACTGTGTTCTCTTCCACCCAGCTGTGTGTACTCAATGATAGATTTCAGAGACAGAAATACCTCAGCCTTCAGCAGATGAAAGAATTTCCCAGCATCCTGACCCTCAGCTACAAACAGGTGAAGACCTGGTTCCAGAACCAGAGAATGAAATCTAAGAGGTGGCAGAAAAACAACTGGCCAAGGAATACCAGTGATGCGACTCAGAAGGCCTCAGCACCCACCTACCCCAGCCTCTACTCTTCCTACCACCAGGGATGCCTGGTGAACACAACTGGGAACCTCCCGGTATGGAACCACCAGACCTGAAGCAATTCAACCTGGAGCAACCAGACCCGGAACATCCAGTCCTGGAGCAATCACTCCTGGAACACTCAGACCTGGTGCACCCAGTCCTGGAACACTCAGGCCTGGAGCAGTCCCTTCTATGACTGTGGAGAGAAACCTCTGCAGCCCTGCATGCAGTTCCAGTCAAATTCTCCTGCCAGTGACTTGGAGGCTGCCTTGGAAACTGCTGGGGAAAACCATAATGTAATACAGCAGACCACTAGGTATTTGAATACTCCACAAACCATGGATTTATTCCTAAACTACTCCACCAACATGCAACCTGAAGATGTGTGAAGATGAATGAAACTGACATTACTCAGTTTCATTCTGGACACTGGCTGAATCCTTCCTCTCACCTCCTCCCCTTCCTCATAGGATTTTTCTTGTTTGGAAACCACATTATGTCTATCTAGTCAATCTGAATGCAGGGTGGGGTATGGTTGGAGGCTAATCAGAGAGGTTTCTTTGTTTTTTCCTGTTGGATCTTACAGGGGAAAAGACATTTGTTGTTGTTTGTTTTTTTTGAGACAGAGTTTCGCTCTTGTTACCCAGGCTGGAGTGCAATGGCGCAATCTCGGCTCACCGCAACCTCCGCCTCCTGGGTTCAGGCAATTCTCCTGCCTCAGCCTCCTGAGTAGCTGGGATTACAGGCACGCGCCACCATGCCCAGCTAATTTTTTGTATTTTTGGTAGAGACGGGGTTTCACCGTGTTGACCAGGATGGTCTCGATCCCTTGACCTCGTGATCCACCCGCCTCGGCCTCCCAAAGTGCTGGGATTACAGGCTTGAGCCACCGCGCCCCGCGGGAAAAGACATTTTAACAACCTTGGCTACTAAGGACAATGTGATAGAAGCTGTCTCTGGCTATAGATAAGTAGATCTAATACTAGTTTGGGTATCTTTAGGGTTTAGAATCTAACCTCAAGAATAAGAAATAAAGTATAAATTGGTGTGAAAAAAATATAAAAATAATTACAATATATAAATCAAAAATAATATTAGCACTGTGATAACCCAGGAAACATAAATGGGCCTTGTGGGATATGCTCACATCCAGACTCACGAGGCCGGAGACATTGGGGGAGGATAAGAAAGCGCTTGTAGGCGGAAAGTCCTCTAGGAACACGTGAAGGAAGCTTCGCCTGCACCTGGGACACACTCCTCTGATGCTGGTCTGGAAGCAGGCAAGCTGCACAAGCTTCTGGTCCATGATGACCACTGTACAGAGCAGCACCACAGCCCAGCCACCATGATGAGAAAATGGCGGAGTGGGCCGTCCCCTCCCTTTTATAAAGGCTGTACTCAACTGCTGTATCCTGGAAGCCTGGTTCTGATTGCATGAGCGGGAACCTTTTTGACAACTCTTATTGGATAACAATCTCTATCTCTGGTTGGATAATCTTAACCAATCAGAGTTGGAGACTATTATTATCCAATCTGTGTTGTGGTACAGAGTCTGCTCTCATCCTATCAGAAGGAGGCTTCCAGGGTACCTCATTTGAATAAACCCATTTTAAAAGGGAGGCAAAGCTGCACACTTGCCTTGGGGTGCAGCTCACGCCAAGGCTTGACCCCTCGTTTATGCAGAGACCTGCCTTGTAGACCAGCCATAGAGAAGGATGTCTCGGGTGCAGGCGAAGTTTTTTCATGTGTTCCTGGAGGATTCTTCTTGTGGCAAGCGCTTTCCCATCCTCCAACATCTCAGGCCTGGTGAGGCTGGAGGTGACCATTTCCTGTGGGGGCTCACAGCACAGAGGGATGCAAAGGAGGGTGGATGCAGGGGAAACCGGCACAGAGAGATGTGAAGGGGAGGGTATAGGGAGGGGAAACCCGCACAGAGAGATGTGATGGAGGGGTAACGTGGGCAGGGCCTAGAGAGAATCAGTTTGCCTGTTTCACTAGGCGCCCCTGCCCTGGTGCAAGGCAGAGGCTGGCCAGGCCCTCACCCAGCAGCGCTCCTTGGTTCTGGCCCTGGCATCTAGTCCCATCTTGCCACCCTCCTCGACTCCACTGTCCCTCAGGCAGGAGCTTCCAGCTGCAGTGAGCAGTGGAGGCAGTAGCTGTTGCTCCCTGGATGCCCGGTGTGTATTTCTTTGGCTTTTTTCTTCTTCTATCTTTTTTTAGATTCAGAAGGTACACATGCTTGTTACATTTGTAGTACATGCAGAATGGTGGGGGTTAGGTTTCTAGTGTACCCATCACCCAAATATTGAAGGTTGTACCCAATAGGTAGGTTTTCAAACCTTCTTCCCAACTTTTTGAGGCCCCAGAGTGTATTTTCTCTATCTTCATGTCCACTCTTCCCCACTGTTTTCACTTAATACATGAGAACATGCAACATTTGGCTGTTTCTGCATTAATTCACTTAGGATAATGACCTTCGCCTGCATCTGTATTGCTGCAAAGGACCCGACTTTGTTCTTTTTTATGATTTTGTTCTTAGTATTCTGTGGTAGGCAGAATACTGGGCAGTCGCTTGAGGAGGCCGCCGACAGCAAAGGGAAGCCACAGGCGGGGCCCGGTCGACCTGCTGGCGCTGCCGCAGCCTCGCAACCTCCCCGACTGCCGCGTGAGCCCTTGCCACCTGCGTTAGGAAGTGATACCCATGCAAGGCCACGGAGTCCGATAAGCTCTTCGCGCCGCCACCCGGGACGCTGGCCTGGGCGCACAAGCTCCGAGAGCGCCCCACGCTGCGAAAGACTTGGAGCCCCGGCTTTGCCTGCCGCCCACCTCCCAGGATGCCCTGCAGATCCACCCGGCCTGCCCTCGCCTGCCCCCTCTCCAGGCGACACCCCGGTGGCACAGAAGCCCGAGGCTTTCGTGCACGTCGCGCAGGTATTGGGGTGCAGGAGTGCCTGGACCGGCCGCTGCGGGACCGGCCGCTGCTGGGAGGACCTGCCGCGCAGTCTGCAGAAAACCGGGCGGTGTCGCCCGCTCCAGACCCTCCATGCTGCAGAGCCTGTCTGGGGTCACTTCAATGGGCCCTTGCAGGGCCGTTCTTTCCTGCACTTGGACTGGTCTGCCTGGGGTCCCCCGGGAAGCTTCGGGCCCCAGATACAGGCAGGACCTCCAGCCGCGCCTTTGTCTTCTTTCTCTTGGTGCATTAGACAGCATAGGACGCTTCCCTGGCCTGGCTCCCTCTCCCTCGCCCTCACCAGCAGCCTGCAGACGGGACACTGCAGACTGCAGCAGAGTGGTCTGGATAGCCTTGGTTCCTCTCTGGGCCCCGGGCTCCAGGAGCGAAAGGCTGAAGGCTGCAGGCTGCTTCCGAGACCAAGGCCCCGGGCACTGTTTCAGGCTCCTGCGTCCCACCCTCAATGGAGGGGCCGCTCATCAAGCCCTCCACTCCCCGGGTGCCACCCGCACTGGACAAAGACCACCAGCACCTTATCCTGACCCGGCTCACCGAGCACTGCGTCCCCTGTGTGGTGGACAGGGACTGTTACTGTGGCTGCGGAAGCTGCCCTGAAGCTCCGAGGCCTGCCTCTGACCCTCAGCCCTGGGAGCTCAGGGTCCCCTCGCACCTGGGGGGTTCGTGCCCAGCCACCTGATGCCCCCTGCTGCCTGTTTTCAGAGGTCATTACCCGCCCCAACACACACTGCAATGTCATTAATGATACTCTTGTGGGAAGTCTGACTTACTTTGAAAATTTAACTCAGTTGTAAGGCATTAAACGTATTCAGTGTTCTGTTCAGTCCCTGTCTTTCTCACACCAGTATTCCTGTGTTTTGCTGGTAAAAATATAACAATTGTCTCCGTGGCTGTTAAAAGCAATACGTTAAAATAACTTAATTTTCACCGGATCAACAGACAAATTTTCCTGTGCATGCAGAGTTCTTCCACTTTTGAAAGGGAGCCTTATTAAAATTCATTACATCATATATTGAAACCAAAATGTCTAGAGTGTGACTCATAAAGTAAGCCAAAAAATTATGTCTTAAGTAGCAGATAAACAAATCCCATATTTTATCCAACTAACCCTGTGGTTACCTAGATTTTACAACATATAATGTCTTATACTGAAAACATGAAGTTCATGATATTGCAGCTAATACATATTTGTCCACAAACAATATGTAATACGTGGTTGCTTGCTTGGCTGTTGTGCTATGGCTCTCGTGGGATTCTGTGCTTTTAATTTTGGCAAGGTAGTTTTAAGTTACATTTGAAATATAAGTTTTAAAGGGTAATGCTGTGCATATTGGATTCCTACAACAATGCCCACGGACTTTTGTAATTAATGGGTTTAATCCTCCTTAATAGAGTGTACCATTTTACCTATATTATTTTGTAACTATGAAGATGTTAAACCCTTTTATACTAATTGTCTTTCTTTAGAAACAAAACGTGTTCCAAATGAAATATATCTTAACACTATTTCAAATCATACAGCAAATTAGGATTTTAAACATGAAGACACATTTTGACAAGTATTTTCAACTAAGCAGCAAATTTTAGCTGATATAAACGGAGTAACTAGGTCTTATTCTTTTCAAAATAAATACATATTTTAAAAGACTGGTTATTTGTAGCCATTCTGAATGAATTAAAAAGTTTAATGCATTTTATTATCTTTAAAAATTTTATAAGTTTTCTTAAATAATTTTAAACTATAGGGAAGCCGAAGAGTTCATGAAATCATAGCTTGTGAGATTACTGCATTTCCTTTAGTTTTTTTCCCCTCATGCATCATTTTATTAGCATCTATGTATGTAATTGAATGGCAATATAAAAAAACTAATGAAACATTTTCAGCAGAATAGTATAAAGTCTCTTAAATTTAATTGCTCTTTAATATTGCTAATATGTGGTAGAAATGTAACTACTTAACTTTCACCCAGTTTGCAAACGTTAAACCATCAGCATTTCAAAGATTAGGGCAACCAATATGATGTCATTGTACTGTCAACTTGTGAAGAGATGGTCACAAACAGCTCACCCAACCAGTCTCAGCTGGCTTTACCATATCACTGCAGTGAGACCTTTGAGTTCCTCTCAAATGTTTGCTATGAAAAGTTCACATTTTTCAGTGAACATGTTTATGCAACCACTATCCTCTCTGGGAATTTTTGGTAGTAAAGATTCAAAACAACACAATTCTTGAAAGTCAATTTGCTGGCCAGGTACGGAGGCTCAGGCCTGTAATCCCAGCACTTTGGGAGGCTGAGGCAGGCAGATCACGAGGTCAGGAGTTCAAGACCAGTCTGGCCAACATGGTGAAACTCCCTTCTCTACTAAAAAAAAAATTAGCTGGGCATGGTGGTACTCACCTGTAACCCCAGCTACTCGGGAGGCTGAGGCAGGAGAACTGCTTGAACCAGGACCCAGGAAACGGAGATTACAGTGAGCCAAGATTGTGCCACTGCACTCCAGCCTGGGCTACAGAGCAAGACTCCGTCTAAAAAAAAAAAGAAAAAGAAAGAAAATTTGCCTTCCATAGGGTTGTGCCAAAAATAACAAAGAGATATGAAATTATACTAATTAATGGCTATTCAAATTATATGTAATGAATCATGAATCATTTCCTTCTTTTTGTTTTTTTTGGGGGTGGGGAGCCTCTACCTAGCTTTCAGAGGAATTACTTTCTTTTTCTTTTGGTCTGGAAATACCACACTGCTTGATAAAATTTGCAAAAGTCTGTTTACTTGAGGAATTATTTTATTATTTCTGCATTACTCTATACATTGATAAATGATTCCTCAACTACTTATTTGTATCAAATTTTATGTCCCTTTCTTCTTAGTCATCATTCAGTTTCCTCCTACTATTAATAGATTAATGATTAATTTAAAATTTTATTCAAATAATCAAGACTGTAAGTGTCCATATCATAAATGCAAATATGTTCATGAATTTCTCCAAATTAAATTTGCCTGGTTAGCAGGATCCCAGGCTGAGAAACAGAACATTATCTGCACCACGAAAGTCTCCCTAGCACTCCTCTCCAGTTGCTACCTGCCATTCCTTTCCGGAAGGCAGCTATATCCTAAATCCTAATGGCATTGACTTGTTTTGCCAAGTTTTTAAAATATAGTTTTAAGACATTTATTTAAATAAATAAAAAAATAGTAAATGTACTACTTGGTGTCTGGATGCTTTAATTTAGCAGTATGTTTGTGAGATTCTTCCATGTTTTTCTCGAAGTGTCATGTGACTATGCTACAATTAATTTATAAATTTTAATGTGGATGAGCATTTGTGCAGTTTTCAGTTAGGACCATCACCATGACTGCTTCTACTAATATTCTAGCATGTCCTTTGGTGAAAATTGGTACTATTTTCTGTTGGGCACATAGTTTGGAGTAGACTCACTGGTTCTGAATACGTTTTCGGTTTTAAAAAATACTGCCAAACAGTATAACCTAAAATTTTTTGCCAGCTTAAACTCTCATCAGTAGTTTATATTAAAAAAAATACATTAGTTTTTTTGGTCTATTTTCATTATAATCACTAGATGTGTATTTACACCAACTTTAAGTTAATTTTCCTTATAAGTTGAACCACTTTTTGTGTTAGTGTCCAAATACATATATAATTTTATATATATTCTTTATTTATTTTTTATAAAGACAGGGTTTCACCATGTTGGTCAGGCTGGTCTTGAACTCCCGACCTCAGGTGATCCGCCCGCCTTGGCCTCCAAAGTGCTTGGATTAAGGCATGAGCCACCACGCCTTGCCTATATATAATTTTATAAATATATTTTCAAGTCTAGCTATTTTTTTTGTTGGATCTCTTGACTTTTTCAATTTATAGTAGTTCCTTATACATATTCTATTCTTTATATACATTCTGTTTTTTTTTTTTTTTTTTTTTTGAGACTCTGTCACTCAGGCTAGAGTGCAGTGGCGCGATGGCGGCTCTGCAGTCTCCGCCTCCCGGGCTCAAGCGATTCTCCTGCCTCAGCCTGCCAAGTACCTGGGGTTACACATGTGCGCCATCACACCTGGCTAATTTTTATATTTTTAGTAGAGACGGGGTTTCATCATGTTGGCCAGGCTGGTCTCCAACTCCTGACCTCGCGATCCGCCCACCTTGGCCTTCCAAAGTGCTGGGATTATAGGCATGAGCCACAGTGTCCGGCCATATACGTTCTTTTTATATAGTCTGGATATGAGTCTTAAAGGGTACATATACAAATAAACATCTTCTACTTGTGTCGTGTCCTACTGCTCTCCTGAATAAAATGCTCAATTTTAACATAACCCAGTTTTCTTTCTTCCCCTTGTGGATCATGCTTTTTTTTGTTTTGTTTTAAAAATGTTTGACACCTCTAAAGTGTGTGATGTGATCTCCTATGTTTTTCTCTTTAGCATTTATTGTTTTGCTGTTCACATTTACATCTACTATGCAACGGGCATAAATTTTTCATTGTGGTATAAGGTAGGGGCTACGACAATGTCTTTCCAAATTGATAGTCAATGACTCAGTAACTTTTTTTTTTTTTTTTTTTTTTTTTTTTTTTTTTTTTTTTTTTTTTTGAGACGGAGTTTTGCTCTTGTTACCCAGGCTGGAGTGCAATGGCGCGATCTCGGCTCACCGCAACCTCCGCCTCCTGGGTTCAGGCAATTCTCCTGCCTCAGCCTCCTGAGTAGCTGGGATTACAGGCACGTGCCACCATGCCCAGCTAATTTTTTGTATTTTTAGTAGAGACGGGGTTTCACCATGTTGACCAGGATGGTCTCGATCTCTTGACCTCGTGATCCACCCGCCTCGGCCTCCCAAAGTGCTGGGATTACAGGCTTGAGCCACCGCGCCCGGCTCAGTAACATTTTTTAAAGGTTAAGCTTTTTCTGTAAACTCTAATGCCACATATGTCATAAATCAGTTATCTCTATTTTTGAATCTTTTTCTACACTCTCCATTTTATTCCATTGATCAGTATTTCTATCATGTGCTTATTGCCTGAATTACCACAAATTAATAAAACATTCCATATCTGATAGTTTAAGTCCTGCAGGTCTATTCTTTGCATTTCTTTTTGTTAATTGTTTTTTTGTTTGCTTTGAGATGGAGTTTCGCTCTGTCACCAGGCTGGCGTGCAGTGGTGCAATCTCAGCTCACTGCAACCTCCACCTCCCAGGTTCAAGCGAATCTCCTGCCTCAGCCTTCTGAATAGCTGGGACTGCAGGCACGAACCACTATGACCAGGTAACTTTTGTATTTTTAATTGTGACGGGATTTCACCATGTTGGCCAGGATGGTCTCCATCTCTTGACCTCATGATCTGCCCGCCTCGGCCTCCAAAAGTGCTGGGATTACAGGGGTGAGCCACCACACCTGACTGTTAATTGTTGATACATGGAAATATAATTCACTTTTGCATGTATTTGTATTTTTATACAAATGATTTTGTATACCGTATCCAGAGATCTTTCTAAATGGATTATATGTGAGCTTTT